TATATATTCTCCTAAATGTTCTTTTCTGTTTTTACAGTAGAAATAAAAATGGAAAAAAAAAATGCAGAATATTTCATTTTGAAAAATTGAATTAAAAAAGTGAACATTAAAAACTGAATTTGTGAGTTTCAAAAATTCAAATATACAATTCTTCCCATCAGAATCCTTCTTGCACATTTATAAATCTACCATTTGTCTGCGCATAGAATATTGCTGCCAGATCAGATCCAGTATTCCTTTATCTCAAGATTCTTGATGAAATTCAAAGATGCGTTGGTAATGTAATTGATCCAGACCTGATATCTTGATTTCAGTCACTTTCTCCCCAACGTGATGGGACTTCTGACTTTTCCACAAATATTTTCATGGCAATTGTTTTGATGAGCTGTTCTCCTTAGGGCCTTGACCACATGAATTTGAGCATGCTACTAGATTGGCAACTAGGTCTCACTGTTTTACTATTGAACTGGCTAGATGCAACAATCAGTTCTATTCTAATAGTTTCTTTTCTCACACTTCTCATCTGTGGAACTCCCTTCTGATTTTGTTGCCTCCCTGATAACTACAATCTTCAAAAATTTAAATGCACTGTCAATCCTCATCTTATGTCTTTCTGAATCCTGTTCTTTTCATTGTCCTTTTCCTCACTTCTTCTCAATGAAATCTTCTCATTCTCTTTTACTCTCCGTAATTCACTTGCATTCTAGTGGCATTATTGCTTTGCTTGGGGTGAGATGATTAAAAAAAAATACAAAAATAGGTTTTATTATATTTTCATTAGAATCTTATATAATAATATATAATCAATCTAACTCTCCTCTTCAACTATTTTTCACATTACAACCAATGAACAAGAAGGTCACTGAGATCTTTAAATTACAAACAGTCTTTATTTTATGGACGTGTGACAGTAATTCACATAAATATTATGACTAAAAGCAAAAAAATGTTGTAGTTATTTAACAGAGATGTTCAGAAAGCTACTTTACTAATCATGAAAATTTAATTCACCACTTGCTAAATATTAAAGAAAAACATTTTAGTTGGATGTTCAAACAGTACTAAAAAAATTATTAAGTGTGGCAAGATATGAGACATATGCTGTTATATATAAATCTTAAAACTGCATGTAATGACAAAATTATGCAGGAGTTAGGCTTTAAGAAAGCTTTATTCAACTGAGAATACAAGGTTCACATATAGTGTCCTCTTATAGTCCCAGTAAACAAATATCTCTCTCAAAGAGGAGAGTAATGAAACAACAGGAGATCACTTTTGATTATTAATAACACTGCATTTATTTGATGTCACAGGTTTGCATAATATTTGCACATAAAACACACATGAACCAACAGACAATTTGGTATATTTTGTTATTTTTCAAACTTTTGAGCACAAAAATGTTGAGCTTTATTCTTTCTTTTTCAATATTGCTATGTCCTTTCAGTATTCTTCAAAACTTGCTACCTTTTATTTCTCTAAGGAACTCTTGTTCTGCTTTGTCTTGGTGGTCATTGTTCTACCATCCATTTGCCAAATAATAGGTTAAATAGGTTATTCACTGTTTCTCTTGCCTTGTGAGTGTTAAATTCTGCAAATCTTCTTTCCCTGTTTTGTGTTCCAGAAATTTCAGCTGTCTCTTTCTCATTACTAGCAGCAGTTTCTTTGTAGTTCCTACTTGTAGAAGAGAAGAAAATTTACCTTGTGTGGCAAAACAATCATGTATATGCCTGGCATACAAAACGAGTGAAGGAAAGGAAAAAGCCAGAAAAGTTGCAGATAAGGCCAAAAGAAAAGAATTGGCAACAGAAAAGAAACCTAAAAATTAGAGAAATTACAGATGAAGAAGCAGAAAAATTACAAAAAGAAATAGATAATAAAAGGAAGTTTTAAGGAGAATAGTGTAGAAGAGAAGATGACTTACCTCATGTGGCAAAGTGAGTACATATGTGCCTGGCATGCAAAATGAGTGATTGAAAGGAAAAAAAAAAAAAAAAAATAATAAAAACAAGGAAGAACAAATTAATGACACCAATCACAAGACAAATTCAGACAAGGAAGGACCTAAAGAAGAAAATGGACAAGAAAATTAAAAGACCCAGAATGAAATCCAGTGAAAGCCAAGCATTACAGTGAAAATAAATTGAAAAAAAGAAAAAATTTGTTCTTTTGTTTTTTCATTTAAAAAAACATTAGATAATAAAATAAAATATATCTATAAAGACAATACAAAATCTTTTCATTACCAATGTATTTAATCTCTCTACATTACTCTCCTGAAAACTTCCTTTTTTCTTGCATACACTGTCAATGGCATTCTTAGAATTACCTCATTCAAGTTTTTTCCATCTGTGAAAAGAATGTCAACATTCACTGTAATATAGGTGATTAGATATTATATATTCAACACTCTCTTTCTTTTAATACTTTGTTTCATTTCTGGAAGATATCTATTCTTATGCACATTTGTTTTCTAGTGTCACATATTGTTGTCTGTTATGCACTATCCAAATTAGACTCTGTGTTTTGGATATAATGATAAACTACATCTGCATCCTGAAATGATAACAGGAAAGGTTTTGAGAAAAAAAAAAGCACCTATTAGTCTAAATTAAAAACAAAACACTATGAAAGAAAAAGTAGGTTTTAATACAAAAATATGTTTCTGTACCATTTTTAAAAAAAATCCAGCAACAAGAAAAAAAATATTACCAGCAATACATTTTTGGAAAAAAAAATATTACAAATTTTTGTCAGCATTGAATAACCTATTGAGGATATGCCATAAAACAAACCAAAAAACCAAACCATAGTTAAAAACCTGGACAATGTCCCCAGTATATGGTTTTTACTTGTTGAAAAAAGGACAATCCATGAATTTATCTGTCTATATCTCTGAGATGAGGTATTAGGATTACTTAATTCATATTATTTGGACTGTTAATATTAACAAGACACTCTGGCCTTCTTCAGGTGATTGAAATTTCAAACTGAACCTTCTATTTCATTACACTTTTGCACATGTCTCATGGATAAAGGCAAAATACAGCGACCAGACCCAAAGAGTTGTAAGTTCAGTACCAGGCCACAGTAGTGGTGAGCCAAAACTTGGAGAGTTGACTTAAAGAAAATAACTTTCAAAAGAGTGTGGAATAGAACAATCTACCTCGGTGGATGAAGTCATCGAAATTTCAATCACCTGAAGAAGGCTGGAGCATACAATGGCTGAAACGTTGTGAATATGGCAATGAAGATGGCATCCCTAACCACCTTATAGACCAAAATTAACTATTTCTCCCCAAAGCAAGTAATAATGACAGTGAACACAACAAAAATCACATACACATTTATTACAAAAACCAAATGCATATTAATTAAAACAAGACGAATCTTCTCTAAGGCAATTATATACTCTCCAATTGATACGTTCAAATTTATTATCTATTAAAAAAAGACAGTCCTCAAAAAAATAACAACACACCAACTAAGTCAAAATTACAAAGAACGAACATTATCTATGAGTTCAAATGTCTCCTGATCAAACCGGACTCATAAATAATTACATTGGTTACACAACCACATGTTTATCCAGATGTCTTATGTTACACCTATCTGATCACAGCTCCATTAGAACCCATTTTAAATACACACACAAATTTACCCAACTCCATTAGGAACATACTAGTAGAAAACACAAATATATTAACTGCATCCACCTGCAGAAAAGACTAAAAATAATGGAAGCTTTAATAATAAAAAAGGAAAAGCCAATTCTTAACAATATTAACTACGAACAAAGCCACAATGTGCTAACCGTATTCAGAAATTAAAAACATCCCTACCACACACTAATACATACACAGAATGCACACACTCAACTAAGCTGAAAAATTAAATCATCCTTGATAATGGCTAAAGGTATAGCTAAAAGCGCTCAGAAATATAAAACATTTGGACAGTTCTTACACACCCTTTGTCCAGAAAAGAAAGCTCTTGTCAGAACACAAGAAAATTAAATAAAAAGCTTAACCGTGGTACCTTGTCTGTCATTTTTAATGAAACATGCATAAAGGAAGGATTGCTGCTTAAATATACAACTATATATATATCTATATATATATATATATATATATACACACTCTCATAAGGTGTGCTATATTTATGGGATAAAGTGCTCAATATTAGAGATAGAGCGTGTGTAAATATTTATATATATATATATATATATATATATATATATATATAATAAACCCTTTTAACCACAAAACAGTTTTATTAGATATAATATCATATTTTTTTGAAAATTAAAACCTAATTTACTTTACAAATTATTAAATAATTGTGTGTAAATATATATATATATATAAAAATGTCTTAAAATAATTGTCGGACTTTGTCCATTTCATAATGTGTGACGTCATTTGTTTACATTTGATACGCCATGAGCAGACATAAATGTACATGAGAGAATCATGGAAGATTGAAGTTTAAATACAGTAAATTCGACCTTGCTAACCGAACGCTCCTTCGTGGCCAGATCGGTAAAGGCATGTCAACCTAAATGACGGTTCCGTATAGGATACAGGTTTGAATCCTGTTGGAGGACAAATATTTTCTGTGAAAATTTCTTGGATATTCAGGCTGGTAAAAAGTTGTTTAATACTGTTTATTATAAACAGAGCATTTACTTAAATACTGTATCTATAAAAAGAATGTTAAACATAAAAATGTCTTTATATATATATATATATATATATATATATATATATGTATATATATAATAAACCCTTTTAACCACGAAATAGTTATATTAGATATAATATTGTATTTTTTGAAAATTAATACCTAATTTGCTTTAAAATTTATTATTTTTTTAGGATCATTTTTAATTTTGTTTTTATTTTTTTTTTTACTTCTGAAGGGATGAAGTTTCACCTGAACTGAAAAGGAAACTGACCCTCTATGATTGGTCTGTGCTTCTGGTGTCCTTTCTTGCAGTCATGATCTGTACAGGGATTATTGGCAGTATGTCTGTATTTTATGTGGAATTCCTCAAAGAATTTAAAAATACAAAAGCTGAAGTGGCTCTGGTGCCTTCATTAGCCAATGGAATGTATGATATTGGAGGTAAGGTCTTTTCAGATAGTCTGTCATTTGGAATTTTAAATATCTGTGCTTTAAATAAATGAATAAAAAAAGAAGTATCGCTTACTTTGATATCACCAAAGAAACTGAATAAATGTGGGAAAGATTTTTTTATAGACAAAGAAAAGAGCATTGTGTTTGACAAATGTTTTTTTTAAAAAATCCACTCCAAGCACCCAAGCAAGGCAATAAAGCCACTAAGATGCAAGAGGGTTACTGAGTGTTAGAGAATATGAGAAAGAAAGCATGAACAATAAAAGAGGAATTAAGGAGTTAGAAGGTAGCGACTGACATTGCCTGTAAAGTTTTGATGATCAAAGTTGATTGAAGAGCAAGAAGCCAGAAGAGAATTCTACAAGCGACAAGTGTGAGAGAAGAAACTGTTAGTGTTGAACTTATGGTTGCATCTAGCAATTTCAGCTGTAAAATGATGAGACCTTGCTGTCAATATAGTACTGTGCTTAATTCGTAAAGTCTAGGTACTATAGAGCAAAGTTTATTTGAACAATTACCATGAAAATATTTATAGAAAAGACACAGGAAAGTTATGTTACAGTAGTGGAAAGTGACTGAAGCTGAGATGCCAGGTTAGGAGAATAACATTGCAGATTGTTGTGTCTATTTAAGTGGAGATTCAGTGGTGGATCTTTAAGACATTTTTTGTTCTTTTGTTAAATTGGTTTTGGAATGCTCAGCAGGCAGTGTGATGATGAGAATTAAAAGAAGGAGGAAGAAGAGGAAGAGAGAAATAGAATGAACGATAGAAGAGAAAAGACATTATAAATGCCGTTAAGAGTTGGCAAAGAAGCCAAACATCACAGCCCCAATACTATTTTCTGTCTTTCTCATTTATCTGAATGTAGGCAATCTGGGATTGCAAAGGAAATATTTGTTGCAGATTACTTCCATAATGCAGAGAATAAATCACTGAAAGTTCAGACTCGAACATCAGGGGCAGAAAGAAATGCCGAAAACTCGATTTGCAGGTACTATCTCACAAATCACAATGCACGTAACTAGTCAGAAAAATAACTCACTCTCCGCCAAATGCGGTAGCCGAACTACCCCAATTTTATTTTCTCTTTTGCTTTTATTGGCCGAGCATATTTTTCATTCGTTGACAACTAGGAGAGGATGCTCAATTTTTGCATATCAAAATACTTTTATAGCGATTGACTAAAATATTCCGTCTTCAGCATGTCATGCAGAATATGTGCCCTTGGAAAAGTTATGAATCCATCTTTTCTCCCCTCAACTATGGGTTAAACAGTAGGACTTGTATTTGGAAAAACCATTGTTATCTCTAAAAAGATTAAAGCAATATTAACTTGCAAAAAAAAAATATATTCTTTCCCACAAAGATTTGATAAGCCATAAAAAAAAACCCAGTCACTCAATCAATCAGTCGTTGTGCCCTTTAGCCCTCTTTTGGTGTTTGTTAATTCGTGTAACCTTCAGGGAATTTTTAATTGGATTCTTTTAATCAATGGGGGTAAAAATGGTACACAATGAAGTAGGGTCTTAAGTGAATTCTGATGAGATGGAAACAATTTTTAGATAACCAACCATAAACGTAACATTCAGTTGTGTGCTATACAGATTTCCTCATATGAAAATTTGATTATGTGTTATATTATGCCAACGTGGGATAATAAATACTGACAATAAAGTAGATTAAATAAAGTGTTCACTTCAAGATTCCCTGAAGCTTATCGAGATCAAACGCCGGAGAGTACAACAACCAAAGCATGATAATAATAACAAAGGTATGTGCAATAACCCACATTTAAATAATGTTTTGCCTAGTGTACAATTCCTATGGAAAGGTATGTAGTCTCCCATTTTTTTCTTTTGAAGTTAGAGTCAGTATTTCGTATCCAGTGAGTTGCAGAGGTTTGATGATTGTATATCCATAAGATTGAAGTAGGGATGAGCTACTTCATTCTTGCTTATCAAAACATAGATCCACATTAACACCAGCTTAAGGGACTGTAGGGTACTTGTACAACAAAGTTTACAGAGACTATTTCAAATTTAAAAAACTAAATTTTTATTCCACTCTTTGATTGGATGCCCTCCTGATAAAGGATGCCTGGGTTAGTCGCACCCTCTGTTCCCACCTTCTGCATGTTACATCTTATCCTATATTGGTATAATATAACAAACATATGATCTAGTTTTAGTGTGAGGAAATCTGTATGGCACATAATTGATGGTTATAGCGAGTCATTTAGAAATTTCCTGTTTCTCAGAATTTGATACTACTCCATTTGGCACCAGAAGGAGGTGCTGTTTAGCAAACAGATCCCTCTTGACCAGACATCAAATATAGTTTTAGCTTTCCTTGTCTGAAAAAGTAAACTTCTGATGACAGTCACCAATTTCAGTCAGTGTCATCAAGACAATAAAAATGTTGTCAAATCTGCTGATTGGACCAAATTGTTATGTAAATCCTCCCATTATTTAATGACAACACAGGCAGTCGTTTCATGTTTTATATATGGATCTGCTGTTCAATTCTTTTCTTCTTAAGCAAAGAAATTTACACTGGCTTGATTGTCTGCAATGCTATCAAACTCTACTTTCAATTATTTGTGATGTCTACTTGGATCTTATTCCCGGAATGGATGTTTTCTTGGAGTTTATCCTGAAAAGGATGCTTCTTTGGACCTTACGCTAAAATAGTGAAACTAGGACGTCGTTACTCGTCCTTCCAATAATCTATGAAAGTAATGATCTATAAATGTCAAATTCACCACATTCAAGTAACATAGAGTTACCTCCCCTCACTTGTCTCGTTTGTTTACCTTTCTTATATCTCCTTCTTTTAGTATCAATACTATCGCTTTGTTGGTAAAGAAAGCATGTCCTGTAATTATTTAACTGCACTTTATGCTTATAAAAGATCACATTTTACTGTTTTTTTTTAACACCCGGAGGTTAAATCGTAAGTCAAAATGGCAGCCAACCGACAAAAAAGAAATTTAAAGAAGAAACAACACACACGCAAACAACGAACAAAAACTTCAAATCTAAGGGAGATAACTACGCACAAACCAGATTTAACGGCCTTTTAAGATATTGCCTCTCTGAAATATGAATTTTTTATTTATGAGTTTAATGCGAATCCTTTTTGTTACTAATATTTTCCTCAAATTTTAATAAGTTTAATAAATTTCATACTTTTGCAGTAGTAGTACTGAACTTGACCTACCCACAATCGATCAGTTTTTTAAGGTCAGTGGAGCCTGAAGGAAGGGAAGAAAACTTGACCTCTTTACCATTGCATATTCTTCACACAATGTCACATTTTCTCTCTTTTTTTATTATATAAGTAGAAATAAATCTTGGTAACTGATATTAGGGTAAGTGGAAATAAATATTAAATTTTTATATGCATTATGCAACTTTTTAAAAATTTTTATATAAGGTGAAAGGGGTTCAATTTGGTTACTCATATTGGCATGGGGGTGTGTAGACACCACAGAAAATGAGGATTTCTTTTCATAACAAGAGAAAAACTAGATCTGATCTCATATTGGAGTGAAGAGGGTACACGAGGTAAAAGACAACAAACACAAACAGAAAATCATATTAGAAAGAGGTTTGAGAGAAGATTGTTAAATAAACTGGAATTTTAAGGGAGAAAGACATGGTTTTGTTTTATCAAATAATTGAAACAAAAAAAATAAAGAAAGAAAAATATTGACAATGTCAAAGAAAAGGAAAATTGCTCTGGAGAACTGAACTTTTCAAGAAATTGGGAATATATTTTATTTTGTGACAGAGGTAAATAGTGTTGCTGAATTGCTGCATTTGTGAAATTACGTATAAAATTTCCTTTTTTTTTAAAGTTGTACAGGAATGACTAGAATATGTGTGAAATCTTACCTGCCTGCACTTTCTCTCCCTCTCTCACTTTCACAATTCCTATCAAAAAAAATTACTGATTTAATTCAGCTTTGTGCATCTGTGAACTCCTGTTTGGGAATCAGTCCTTAACAGATTCCATGGTCTCATTGTTGAAAACCCAACCATCGGTTCTGTGGCCCCCTGCTTTTGGCTCACTGCACATTTGTCTCAGCACATAATGGCCTTTTTGTGTCATTGAGTTTCAGACTCTTGATCTAATTAATAATCTTTTTCTTAAAATATTCTTATCCTGAGATGTTGTATGGTCTTAGTTAGTTCTTCTTGTTCCCTATGGAACATTGGGTGACAAAAGCTCACATCATGCATGATCTTGGGCTTGTTTTGCAGCTTCCTTTCAGGCCAACCCCACCATTTCAGCCAGGTCTTCTTCTGCAGTCTTCCTCCAGGTCTTGTAGGGTCTGAACCTCTGTCTACATCTCCCATCCAGCTTCCATTCCAAAGAGGTCCTCACTGGTCTTGTCAATTGCATTCATAACATATGACCAATAATCTTGCACCTCTGCACTGTGATTTTGTCTTGCAGATCAGTTTGGCCAGATCTCTCCATGATATTCCAAGTAATGTTTAAATTTGGTAAAATTCTTGTTTACTGAGGTGGCAAATATTAGAATTAAAATTCACAGGTTCCAAATTAAATACATTAGGTTTCTGTGATATTTTATTACAAATCTAATGTTTTTATATGAGATTTTATATGCAGGAATGTAGAAAATTTTAAATTTGACCTAGAAAGGGTTAAAAAGAAAATCTGTTGTGTGTTCATTTGTTCAGATTTTTTTGAAGTGGGTGTAGTTTGAACTTAAGAAAAAAATTGCTAACACTAGTAATTATTTACATGTGGACTATTGTCCCCCATCTTTGTTGTTATTATTGCAACATTTTGGCCATCCTTCTCCCCACCCCAATGAATAACTCTCTCTTTTAAACTATAGTATCTCTATTTTAACCCTTAAATAACAGCCATCATCAATGGATATTTCCTGTGAGATCAGGAGATATCATCAATGATTTAAACATTTTCCAATGATATGAACATTATTCATTCATAC